AAATCACTTTATGATGAGTTGTACCCACATAGAGTACATATTCATTCACCTGTTTGCAGATGTTCCTTGTACTACTTTATAATCAAATAACGGGGACTGTGACATTTCATGTCTTGTTAATTAATATTTTTGAATACATGCATTAATAGTTGATTTGGCTTTGCAAAAAAAACATTTCCTCTTTCTACCATAGGTGGCACACTTCATTGTTACACAAAATTAAAAAAAAAATATACAAGGCGCAGGTTTCAAACTGGTTTGTGCGATGCTGAGAAACAGAACTGCTTTGTCTTAGTAGACCATTTGCAGATTAACATAACATCATGGTTTAATGTGACTGTCTACATATTAATTAATGTGACTGTTATATTCTAGAATCTACATACCCAAGTTCACCACGTGATGGCGCAGCCAATCATCTTGCAATGGATATTGAAATGGAAGGTACTAATCGACAAGACTTGGCGTCACGATCTCTTGGATCAGCGGCTTTCCCCAATGAAGACACGGAGGAAGGTCTGTTCCATCAAGAAGCCTTAATGGCTGTACAAAGATGGATCACTTTACAAGGATGGCCTGGTGGTCCAAATCCTGTCACAATACCTGAGGGTCTTAGAAGGTATGTACTAACAAGAGGTTTTTCCCAATAATGTAATGATATATACCTTGCTTGTTAAAATTTTAAATAAAAATATCTTGCATAGTTTATGTACCAAACACATGTTTACCAATAGAATTGCCTATCTAATGGTTGCAAATAATTGATATGAAAACTGATATGAAATTTTTTTAAATGTGTTTAAAAGCATATATTGGCTAATGTAACTGCAACTAAAACAGAAATATTGTAATAATATTTTATTGTTTTTTTTTCTATTTCTTAGTGGTGTGAGTAAGAATTCGTTGGGGGAGTCTGCCGGTGACAAACCACCCCGAGGTGTAGATTCTGGTGGTGGTAGTGGACATAAGAAAGGTCTGAGTCGTACTATTTATGATTTGGTTGCACATTTGACTGGTAGAGCTGTCCCTGGTATACCAATCAACCAACCATTACCAGTAGATGCAACAGAACGAGTATTACAATTACACTGGCAGCATTCAACTATGTTAACATTCTTAAGGTGAGTGTTTTATGTAGACTTGTAGATTTGTGAATATCACTGTATTTATATAATAAATAATGTACCCGGTAAATTAATGTGTGGTTCAATTGTTAATCTGTCTGCCAAGCATCAGTGAGATTGCAGTTTGAACCAGGTGTGAATGCCTACTCTGAAGTGAAATAAAGAGTACATTATGCCCACTTACACAGATTCCTTTATGTTGAGACAGTGGTATTCAGTTTTAGAGAAGTAAATTTGTCCATCTCATGTCCTCTTCCTGTGCACATGGAAAGTTACAGTATCCTTGTCATCTGTAAACCAATCAAATAGTTGTAGGACATCTAGTTGTTTCCCTGTTATCATGTACAATGCTGTAATGTGTTACCATTTTACGATTTCAGAGGTCAAGGGGCATCAGTAGCATTTATCAAACCTGAATATTTATTTGAACCAAAGGACTACAAGAGATATGTCAAACTACAGGAACAGATCAAAGCACAGAAAAGAGAACGTGATATTAAACAGAATGCCAAAGTTGATGTAGAAATCATTGAGAGCGCATTGGATGATAATTTATTTGAGTCTGTCTCTAAGAGAGCTTGGACTGACTTGATACTGCAGATACTAAAGGTAACCTCAGCCAAGAGATGACTGTTTTTTTATATGCATGTGTTAAATTCTATTGTTCACAGAAATATTAATGTTATATTGTTACTAGCAAGTAGACTTAATCCTTTGAATGACAAGTCAAGTTTTGTCTCATCTATCACAAAATAAACCTGTATATTTTTTCAATACTTTTTTCAAAATCTGTAAATAATGATTCTAATAATGTCTAACATTATAGAAAAAATATATTAAAATATGCAAAGTGTTGCATAAAAATTCTCTGAAGTAATTCTAATGATCAATCTATAAGTTTATAAAATTTGATGCATGTAACCTAAAGCACTTGGTAGCTTACTAGTTCAGTAACCACATTTTAAATCTACTGTTCATGTTTTCATGTCAGGTTTTATTGCTGTCTCGTGTGACTCCACGTCAGTTTAAATCTATGTCAGCCTCTGGTGGTATGAGTTTACCTGTCATCAATCCTGATCCTACATCAAGCAATGTGTACTCCGTTGGTGAAAGAATATTGCTATCATGGTTAAATCATCATTATGAACATCAGAGACATATTATATGGAAAGACTGTAGTAAAGGTGAGTCGTCTATTTAAAACCTTGTTGTAACCTGCTTCTGAATGTGAGGAAAAGTGAAAATAAAGTGCACCTTCTATTGTTTCATTTCTGTACTATATGCTAAGTGTATCTGACAGTGACTGATAATTTATTGAATATCAATCTGGCCCTGAATCTCAGCTATTTAGCCTCTCTGTTGAGTCCATGACTCACTCACCCGGGGTACAGGCCTCCCCATTAAAATAGTATTGAATCATATGGTGCTCTAGTATAAGATTAAATATTGTTTGTTCTGTTTAGGTGGTGTACCTCCATCAAGATGGGTTGTGAATTTTGACTTTGATTTGCTAGATGGTCTTGTATTGGCTGCTGTATTAGCTGCTCACATACCGTTCCTGGTGAGTTCATTCATCTTTATATTTTTCACACATTTTTTTTTGTTCTTTGTCACACTCTCTCCATACAGAATTGTACTTCCAATTCTGTTTTACTTTTACTTACTGTATTTTTGTCTGTATTTATGAAAATAAAAAAGGAATGTTGACAATGTTACCTTTTACTTCTAATAGATGACCTATACTGAGTTTCTTGAGTTATTTGGTGTTTGTAATATAATATTATGTTGCTAAGAATTGAAATGATTGTATCATTTTATTCTTTCAGACCACTACCCATTTACAAGAGATGTACACTCATCCCAATACAGCTGAACAGTGTCTACATAATACATTGAAAGTTGTCAGTGCATTTAAATGTATTGGTCTGGATTATGATATACAGGTTAGTATATCACAATATGACTTCATTTCTTCACCACATGTTAAAATATCTTGCTTGGTTTTTTTTTTTACATTTTATCAAAGTTGGAGCATCACAACAATTTGACTCTTTGAATTTTTCTCAATTCTGAGGGTTCACAAAGACTGAAAAAAGATAATGAATTACATGTATTTGAACACTAGAAGTTCAGACCCCTCATTTCTAACTATTTTATATTAATACATGTATGTAACTTCCTGATATTAATATGAGATCATTACGAAGATACTGCAAAGTATGCACAAAGACAATAAAGCGGGAGTATCGACCAACGCATGTACTGTCTCTATTATTAGAAGACACTTACATGCGTAATCTTTCCATACTTGGAATTTGGGTTTTCTAATATGGTAGGATAAAAATACCCAGTGCAATACCGCAAGATTACAGCACGCTGTAACTTGTGTTGTTACAGTGACGGATGTATAATACATAATACTTGATATTCATACAATGATTGTTATTTGTGTTTTCAGGCCATTGATATTACAGATCCTAACCCTGTTGCTCTACTACTGCTATGTGTGCAGTTATATCAGAGGTTACCACACTACATACCTAAAGCTAGCGTAGAGTTTATTGGCACATTACATAGCAGCGTTATGCGACAAGTGCGTCTCAACAACCCTAGTAACAAACCACTCATATACCATGCTAGCATTGCTGGCAGGGACGCCAGGGATTTCTTGCTACCTAAGGGTGATCAAATCACAATATCCCCCAGAGGCAAAGTGGATCTACCTCTTGAGTTCCGTAGTCGATTTCTACGTCCAGCTGAGGCATTCCTGGTATTGGTCGGTAGACGTGCTGGTGCAACTACTGGTGGAACTATGGTGTTTACTCTACGTACAGCGATTGATAATATTGAGCCTGTGGTAAGGTCTTCTTCATGTCTTATCTGTCATTATGTAGATGTAATTATCAACCTTTGGGAACATTTATTGTTTGTTTCTGCAAGTTTGTCAATTTCCAGCTATGAACAAGACTTGTACTGTAATTATTACAAGAACCAACAAATAAACAAACAAGTAGAATTCTTACTCCCTCAATAGTATTTTGTACAAATGAGGTTTTCTTCAAGTTTGCTTAATTAATATAAAGAATTGATAACATTCTAATGTTAAAATTTGTATTATTGATGTCAGGTTAAGATTAAAGTATCATCATTACAAAGCATTCAAACATCTTGAAAAAAAATTGCATGGTACACATACCAAACACAGTTCTGTGCTTTAAACTTAATTTATAACATTTATAATTTCAGAATGTTTTGAAGATCGAGAACCCTTGCTATGAACTCTACAAAATAATGATTCCTGTGCACAATGTCTTTGAAGAATCTGGTGACTTCAAAGTTGTACTTGTTGAATCCAAGGATGATTTCCCCATTGGTGAGTCAAGTGCTGGTGGCGGGTTTCTGAAATCAAAGCCCATGGAACCAAAGAAAGTGAAATCTAAGATTGACCACGGACAGAAGAAAGAGAGGACTCCATCTCCTGCTAAAGTTGAAGATGTGACTTTTAAAATGGATACAAAACAGGAAGGTGAGTATTCATGTGAATTTATAGATATGAATGATTTCATTGCATATGGGTTGTATCTCTATCCATGTTTTCTCAGGCTTTAAGAAGTTATTTATATCTACTTTTTATCTAAAGTAAAACTGTCAAATTTAAGGTATAATACAGCTAAGCTAAATGAACAAAATAATCTGTTCTACCATGTACTAATGTGATTTATATCTCAACAGGTGACAAGGGAAATCAGTTCAGCTTTTTCTTCTGCTCCCAAGACACTGTTCATTTAAGTACTACTGATCCAGCGACAGTGGAGGTTGAATTCTTACCATTTAGTCCTGGACGAAGGCAGTGTTCAGTGTTATTTATCAATGAAAAGATTGGTGAATTTCTCTACTCGATAGAAGCCATAGCAGCCCTGCCAGTACCATCTTTGTTACCATATCAACCAAGTCTCACTAGTATCAGGATTAGTAGTGCTGCCGCTGCAGGTATGTCTTCATGACATCATCAATTGTATTTCCTAATATGGACATAACTTGATCTAATTATGTTAGTTAATCAAAATCTGTTCTTTGACTGTTTTAGTATTCAAATAGAACTGATGTTGATATAGTTGTGTTACTGATAGATGCTCATAATCAGTCCTGGAATTACTGTATTGTCCTAAATCTGAAATAGTCGGGCATTTGGGACTAGATCACTTACCGGTATATCAAACAGTGTGTGAATGCTACTCAATAATCCTTGAGACAAACATAACAAATTTTTATACTGATATACAGTACTGTCTGGTCGTAATAAATAAAGTAACAAATCTGTTATAAAACCAATCAGCCTATAAGATCTACTGCCAGTTCATGTAAAGCATCTGGAAATCTATACCAACCTACAATATTCATAGCATTCAAGTTATATATGAAATTAATAATTTATTCTCTGTCATGAAAACTTTTTCATAAACTAAATTATGTACTGAATATGTAGAAATACATCCAATATCAGTTCAAAATCAATGCAATATGTATATATTAATGTTATACTGCTTTGTTACAGGTTCTGGGCAGGGCATGTTTGGTGGAGATGATAGAGTGATTTACTGGAGATGTGACAGCAATAATACATTAGAAGAGGAACTCCATATACCAGTCACAAACAAAGCCAGAGAACTTGCTTTAGTCATAGCAGCACAGCAAAGAATGACAACCAAAGAAATTGAGAGACGTAAAATCACTGGAACATTGTGTAGTAGTTCAGTCACTGCTGCTATTGCTCAATTAGAAATGGCAGATACTATCAAAAGTGCTACCGTCTTGTCAAAGTTTAGAGACCCTTCTTCTTTGAAAGAAAGGGATAAAGAGGGAAAAGTCTTTGAAGTGGATATCAATTCTAAATTTTTCTGTGCACCAAGTTTGTTGACGATACCACCAGCAGGTAAACAGAAACCACAGATGAAAGTTGACAATGATGTGCTAGGTAATACACCAGCACAGTCCACACCAACAGGTGAGATTCTTCATTGAGCTAGGGAGTAAAGTTTATCAGAAACCAAATCACTGTACAGTAAAACTTATGTAAGCCTGTCTAACCCTGTCTAAACTGAACCTTTCTGTATGGACTCCTCTTATTGATTCAAAAGCTCTACAAAGCAACCAGTTTTCTCAGTTTCCTTGGAGATCAGTTTTTTATTGTACAATTGAGTTGAGTTGGTTATAAAGTGATTAGTCTTTTGTGTAGTCATCTGTATAATTGTATTTTTCTTTCTAGGTATTATTTATGAAGAGGGAGAAGTGGTTTTACCAATAAAATTTGTACCCAAAGGTGCTGGGCATTACCCATGTCGTGTTGTACTTCGTTCAGACAATGATATCCGTGTATATCAGATAGAATGTACTGTCAATCCTGAAGGCACAGCAGCTGAAATAGAGTTTACTGCACCTGTACATCAAGCCATAACACAAGAAATACCAATTGTAAGTTTGGAATCATTATTTGTTTCAGCGCCCTCAGATGGTCAAGCTAATATTTATTTTGTTTTTATTCAAACTTTTTGTGAGCCATAAACTGTTATATGATATAGATACAATAGCAATAACAATTAACTAAATAAAAATTTAGCAAAACTAACAATTTTCGAGGTTTCCTCAAATAGATATGATCAAATATAAATAGAAAACACATCCTAGTTTCTATACATTCTATGATTTGCAATGATACAATGGCTACCTTTGACAGTTTTTTCCTGGCAATTATTTAAAAAGACAGTGAAGGAGAATATTCTAATGAAGTGTCATGTATTGTAATAATTTGTTTATAACTGTTTACAGATAAATCAGACTCCTCATGACTGGCCGTTACAAGCATCTATTGAAGGTGTAGGTTTTTTTGGACCACCGTATTTACTAGCTAAAGCGATGCAATCGTCATATTATCCTCTGATGTTTAAACCATCTATGGAATCTTACACCACGGTATGTACACAGTATTTAAAGTTAGTGTTAATTTTAGTGTGTGCTGTCATACATTCCTATAGTCTATGGTTGACAGTTTTGCTAGAGTGCATTTTACCATAAATCTGCACTATTTAGGTACTCATCGGTTGTGAAGATTGCATGCTGCTGATGGTGTATTCTTAAAAGATATTCACAATTAAAAAAATAATTATGATTATATCACATCACATCAACTATCATTATCTTACTCAGTATGTTTGCATATTTTTATGACTGAACTGATTATATGAAAATCATATTATATCATATCACATTATATCTTACTTGCATGTTACACATTTTCAATAATAGTATACTTCATGGTTGAAAGCGGATCTCTGTTTTCCAGTAAGTCTGGTGTATCAATCACATTGTGTTGTTATAAATACTTGTAAATTATTATAAGAATCTATTTGCTGTGGTTTCCATTCTTACTCTACACTATAATTATAAAACCTCATTTTTGTGATAAACACATTGCCATTCATTTCTAATGAAGATCATCTTAAATAATGGTAACTAATTCAGCTAGTTTTATCATAGCAAGAGTTGCCATGCTGTGTTGTAATTGAAACTAAGCAAACTGAAACTTATTATAGTTATAAAGTATATTATATGAGTTATGAGTTGAGAAATGTTATCACTAGGATTCAGTGATTCTAAAAAGCAATGCCAGTTACCCATACTACTGCTTCTTCTCTGAAACTCCTAATACTATAGACCTATTTTACCAAAGATTCCACTTCTTGTCTGAAGTATCATAGCACTGAAATATCTTGGCTCTGAAGGGCAACCAGTGCTATGAATGATGCTGTATTTAATTTTTCACTCGTTTATTAGCTCCGCTGTCGACTTTGTCGAGCGGGGCTTATCATATGAGTGATTGTCCGGTGTCGTCCGTCGTCGTCCGTGTCAATGTTTTACTTTTTCGACTTCTTCTTGAAAACTACAAGCCTGAATGCTTTGATACTTCGTGTATATGTACCTTGGGTA